GTGCGAGATGCCAGGCCAGCCACCGCCGATTACAACACGAAAAACAGCCTCATCCAGTTGGGCTTGGCCGCAGCGGGAGTCGCCTCTCCCCTCGCTCTCGCGGCCATGAAAATATTACCAGAAGGACCGTAGATGGCCCCCGTACTTAGGCGTGAACCACCGGGACTACGATTCGAAAGGATGCAGTCCTCGAGTGCCTCGTAAATTACGGGCGTACGTTGCACTCGAGAGACGCGCATGTTCGTTTTGTATCGCCTTTGCCCGATTCCTCGAGCCCGTTCTCGATACGTGACGCTTGTGCAAACCGTTCCCTCGATTATAGACACGATTACGACTGAATGTCGCTTCGTGTTTCGTCTACCGAAAATATTACTTTGTTCTCTCTTTATAATCTCGACGAGAAGAGAAGCGAATTTACTTCGTCCGTTTCCTCGTCGCCTTCTACTCGGTTAGTGATCACGTGTCCATCGATCGATAATGTTGATAATGAACCAATGTCGATGTAAAAGAAGTACGAATCACGATACGAGATAAGGATGAATCGTCATCAGAGAATTAAATTTGTCCACGATCGTGCAATTAATCGTTTGGAAAAAAAGAAATGGAAGAAAGAAAGGACGAAGAGAGTACAAGGAGCGATAGCGGGTATCGTCGAAGAAGGGCTGAAACAAAGGGAGACACGAACGTGCTTGGTATCTCGGATCACGTGAGCGAGCACAAACTTCCAATGAAATTCGTTCGAAGCGACTCGTTCGACTAGTTTTCATGTTTCGTTGATAAGACGAAACCGACGACAAATTTATTTTACGATGAAAGCTAACGATCGACCATCTTTTTCGAACCACACATCCTCATCCAAACGATATATTTAATAAAGTATGTCTATAAATGGGAAAATGAAAGAAAATGAATATTTTTATATTTTAATTTTTTATAATCATTTGGTTTGAAAAGTCAAGCGTGAGATCAAGTATTCTTGTGTTAAAATCTAAAAATTTGTAAAAAATGAAATTGATCGATTTGATTTCTGAATGACTCGGTATATCGAAAAAAAGAAAAAAGAAAAAAAATGAAAAAGGAAAAAAGCACGTTTACGTTAGGTTTCTCAGTAACTAGATAATCGTTATCGAAGTTAAACGTAACTATCTCTAGGCGAGCGATTAAACCAAACGAAAAAAACATTGTTATGCGCGGATGCCAGGTGTAATTTAACAAGCAGGGATCGTAGCCGAGTGAAATACACTGGCGACCTAATGAAAAGCAAGCATGAAGAAATATACAAGAGAGATAAACGCAACGAGTTGCTAAAACAACCGGATTCAAGATTCGCGGGGAAAAATAAACTTGCTCTCTTTACGATAAACTGTTGCTTAAAATATTGGCTGACAGAATTTCCACTTAACGATAGTAATTCGAAAGAAGATTAATATATGATTAAATTCAAATCGCGTATTTCGGAAATGCATAACAGCTGAAGAAACGAAGAAGAAAAATAATCGCGAATTCAGCAGCAAGGTTAGGCGGACAACGCGTAATACTTTCCCTAATCGATTAACAAAACGGAAGTTTCGTCTGGACGTTGCTTATAATAGAAACACGAAAGAATAATAACGCAATCGTAAGATTATACATTTTCTTCCTAAACGCTCGAGTTTAGTACCTTCAGAGAAGAACCGTTAGGATACTAAATTTTTATTACGTTCCAATCGAAGTTCAACGTATCCGTCGTGGAATGCACGAAAGCTATAAACTCGTTGCAAAGAAAATTAGAAAACTCAGAAATATAGAAAAATAATAATACGTTTTGGCGAGTATAATAAGTTCTATATTTGAAATAAATAAGTCACGAAACTATACATTGTTGATCTTTTCGACCAATAGCCGGAAAGCAAAAAGTTATTATCATTTTTTTCGGATAGCAACAGAGTCGTGAAACGCACTCTTTTCTACCGTGATATATAAGTTCGCGTAGAACGAGGACCAGATACAGAGAGGCCAAAAAGAGAAAGAACGAAACACCAAGAAGAAGAGGAAGCAGAGAGAGAGAAAGGAAGAACAAGAGGGCGAGTTGGCAGCATCTACGAACCTATAAACACGCCGCGCACACAGATCGAACGCAGCCACGGTTGTCGGTCTCGTAACCGCGGTACAACGACCTCTGGCCTGCTGTCGAACGCGCCTTCGCGCTAATTGCGATCCCCGAACATTGGACCGAGACTTATTCACCGACAAAAGTATATTTCTCTAACGTCCAGATTATTCGATCGAAAACATTGAGATTCGTCGTGTAATTCTGTTTATTTGTACACTTTGTTACCTTCGTTCTTTCGTGGAATACAAGTGGCTCCTCCCGACAATGCGGAACTGTCGAGGAAAAAACTCGTCTGAAGAAACGTAAACATAACATACACGACTGACCAAATGCTCTCGATTCACGATCGTAAATATTATATAGGTAAAAAAAACGCATGTTCAAATAAGAGAAAGAAATCGGAATAAGGATTGGGCATCGCAATATGAAACGAAGACAAATACACGGTTTTCTAGTTACTCGTCGTCTAGTTTCTCTTGTTCGTTTTTTCTCTACTGCCTCGTGCCTCGTTCCTCGAGGCGTCCGTCGAAACACGACAGAGAAACTCTCTCGCTCACTCACCTGTCAGAACTCTCGGAGCTATCGTATCGATCGGCGCACCGCTTCTTCCCACAAGGGCCGACGAGGGTGTCCTCGGCCGTCCTAACCTGTCCCTTGAAAGGGCTACCCTGATGCCTGCCGGCAACGAGGCCATTTGCAGTAACACCAGCGGCACCAGCAGCACCACCGCCAGAAGCAGAAACAGCAGCAGCGGCAGCAGCAGCACCACCACCACCACTACCACTACTACCACCATCACTACTACCA